TTGATGGAGACATGTGGGTTGTTCCTACTTTTTGGCTATTGTATATAATGCTGCTACGAACATTTGTTTACAAGTTTTTATGTGAGCATATGCTTTATTTTGAGAGACAGGGAGGAAGGGAGGGTGTGAGTGGGGGAGGCAGAGAGAGAGGGAGAGAGAGAGAATCCTAAGTGGGCTCCGTGCTGTCAGCACAGAGCCGGATGCAGGGACTAAACCCACAAACCGTGAGATCATGACCTGAGCCGAAATTGAGTCTGACACTTAACTCATTGAGCCACCTGGGCACCCCAACAATAATTATTTTTTGAAGTTTTCTCTTCCCTGTTGTTTCTCCTTTCTTTCTGTTTTTAGTGTTTTTGTCTGTATCTCATTTCTACATCACACCACTGGGCAACTTCCTCTCCCCAACACTAGAAATTTATTTCTCAAAGGGGATAACATAGAAACTCTCTGGACTGGGGGACATCAGACACAGTTGAGAGGGAGAGGACCAGAGTGAAAACTGGGAGATTATGAGTGTGTTTACTGAATATAGAGCCCTCTGTAAGCTTCCTCGACAAAGCTCCAAACAAAAAGGAGGAAACAAAAGGACAAACAGCTGATACCTGTACTTTTGGGGTGTAAGAAAAATACTATAGGACTTTTGTTTGTAATTATTGCCTATTGCCCATCACTGCCTACTTTGTTTTAAAATGAATGATTTATAAATAAATATACATGTATTGGGGCTCATGCTCAATATTTGTTACTGATGGAAGTACATAATCAGAGTTCAGAGTCTACTGCATTAAACTATGAATTTTTGTAAAGCAAATTGCATTGATTTCAATTCTCACATTAAAAAAAAAAGTTTATTTATTTTGAGAGAAAGAGAGGGAGAGAGTGAGGTCGGGAGGAGCAGAGAGAGAGTGGGAGAATCCCAAGTGGGGCTCATACCCATGAACGGTGAGGTCATGACTGGGCAGAAACCAAGAGTCAGATGCTCAACCAACTGAGCCACCCAGGCACCCCTCTCATATTTGATTTATAGATATATCATGAAAGAAAAAGCGCCAATACAATGTGATATTGTAAGGAAATTATACCAACAGAAATGAAACTAATATGCCTGCAAGAACACAATGTTCAGTCTGGAGCAAACTTCTACCCAACTTTGGGTAATTCGAGAAAAAAATGTGTTTTTACCTCCCCATTTAACACTGATCCTAGAAGCAGCACTCTACAGTACATTTTGGATCACTTTAAGTTAATGATAACATAGTAAGTGCCTGAAAGCCATGGCCAATATGGGTGTTCTGACCTACTTAAGAACTGACTGAAACATGCACACACATGATCTTTTAGCTATATGATGTTGCAGGACATTCAGCCCATTGCATGTGGCAGTAATGTTAAAAGGTGGCACAAAGTATACAAAACAATAGAAATAAAGGAACTAAAACTAAGAACTAAGGCTAAGGAGAGAAGCATTCAAGAAATACTTGGGTTATTAGTTGAAAGGAGCAGTTATACTTTGACTTTTGAACTTGATGCTTAAGTACTTCATTATTTTTGCTTTGCCCATCTTTCTAATTGCCTATAATTCCCAAAATGGGAGTTTACTAATCTAGTGTTAAAACAGAGATCTGTAAAGGGAGTTTGAATTAGAAATATCCTGGACTATCCCACAGCTTTCAGCAAAATCAATTCCTTATGTAATTAAAAGTTTGATTAAACTAGAACCTACAAAAATACCATTAAATGTTTTTGAGTTAATAGGTTTATAAACAGATTCAAGGGTTTGACCCAGCAATTCTTTTAGCTCAGATTTCCTCCAATAATTTACTATAAGCTTTACCAAGGCAAAGCAAAACAAAAAAACAAAAAAACAAAAAACAAAAAACAAACAAAAAAACAACATAATTTCTAACAGTTAGAAAAGAAACAAATTGGTCTGTTTGAAAGAATTACCAAACCTGTGCAATCTGGCTCTTGTCATCTGCCAAGCGGCAAAATCTGGCGTCCATCCACCACAAGAGGGCAGTAGCGCTCAACCGTTGTTAATGGGAACCCAACAGAGCCAAGGAGGCTTCATTAGAGAAATCATTACAGCTGTTGTTAACACATCACTCTCTCACTGGAAAACGCAGGCAAACAGGAACCACAACCCAGATAGGTTCAGAGCTTCTGTCCTGGGTAACAATAAGACAGGAAATAAGCAACAGGGGCTTGTGAAAGGGAGAGGCCTCCCTCCCCATCCTCATGTCCTTGAGTCACCGTGGAGATGGCCGACTAGCTTAATAATGGCTGCAGATAGGGGTCTGTTTCATTTGGATGTTGAGATAAAAACGCTGTGGCAGGCAGGCAGGCATCAATGGAACAGAGCTCTTGATGGGGATTTGGAAAGGGCAGAAAGAATAAAAACTGTGGGGTGCAGCAGAGCCGATAATCTCAGAAAATGAATTAGGTTTGGTTTTAGGTGTGTTCTGGGATGAACTTTAGATTCATAACACTGGAACGTTAAGATAATCAAAGTAATCTTTCCAGCCTATAGCATTACTTTGTAAAGTTTCCAGGAAGTGAATTAATAAAAAAAGGAATCAATTACAACTAGTGCACCTCAATATTTTAAGTATGTATGTGGATTGGTCTGGGATTGCCCAGAACTTGAGATGAATCAGATATTTGTACTATGCTCTCATGACCACCATCTGTTTTTGTTTTATTCATTTGTTACTGAGCTATAATCTGAAAAGACTTTTAATATTTGAAAGACCTAATTTAACCATTCTGTAATTTAATGTTGTTTCAACATTTATTGAACAGTTACAACCAAGAGAAAAGACAGTGCCTCTGTGTGTGTTGAAAGAAAAAGTTTTAGAAAATTGCACCTCCATGTTTTAAATCAGCCTCAAATAAAAATTGAGGCTTGTGAATGTTTCCCAGTTTTTACGTGCCTTTCATATCTTGTACTTTTGTTGAAGTCAAAACTTTGAAATAATAGAAAGGCTAAATCTAATTCAGGGAATCTTCTTCCTTCATAGAAAGAAGGGATAGAATATAGGGAAATAAAATGTTCTGTCATTCTTTTTTTTAAGTTTATTTATTTATTTTGAGAGAGAGGAGGGGAGGGGCAGAGAGAGGAGAGAGAGAATCCCAAGCAGGCTCTGCATTGCCAGTGCAGAGCCCGATACAGGGCTCGAACTCATGAACTGTGAGATCATGATCTGAGCCAAAATCAAGAGTTGGATGCTTAACCAACTGAACCACTCAGGTGTCCCTGTTATCCTTTTTTAAAAAATTTTATTTTAGAGAGAGAGAGTGCAAGCAGGGGGAAAGGTGCAGATGGAGAGAGAGAGAGAGAGAGAGAGAGAGAGAGAGAGAGAGAGAGAGTTCTAAGCAGGCTCCATGCTCAGCACAGAGCCAGACACAAGACTTGATCCCAAGATCCTGGATCATGACCTGAGCTGAAATCAAGATTCAGATACTTAACCAACTGAGCACCCAGGCACCCTGTTCTGTCATTCTAATACAGATCCATGAAGGACATACTTGTCATTAATGAGCCATTGGATAGAAGATGACATTTAAAAACTCTTATTCAATTATAAGTATCACTTAATGGTTTATTCAACTCAAATTAGCAAACATTTATTGGATTAGTCACTGTGGTAGACATAAGAAGTAACAAAAATGAATAAAACATCGAGCTAATGGTGAGAGGCACCTGAAAGAAATATTGTTTTAGCAGCTACTCTGTGACAGATTTTTAAATATCTTTTCTTATTAATCCTCATAACAGTTCTGAGGTGTTATCCCTGTTTTGTAGAAGAAGAAACAGGCTAACACCAATTAAGTGGCCTACTGAAGGTCACGGAACTAGTTGGGGTAGTGCCAAGATTGAAACCCAGATATGTTCAATTTTAAAGTATATTCTCTTTTCATTGGACCATTCTATCTGGATATTAGTCACTGACTCCTGGGAAAAAGTAACTTTTATGAATGGCAGTTTAATAGTTTACAATTTAACAAATGAAACATATGGTGTGCAGTTATTACATATTTTAAAATAAATTTTAATTAGGAAAAATTTTAAACATAGAAATTATAGGGGTGCCTGGCTGGCTCAGTTGGAAGAGCATGAGACTCTTGATCTCTGGGTCCTGAGTTCCAGCCCCACGTTGGGTGTAGAGTTTACAAACCAAAGTTAGAGACAAACACCTGTGTAGTCATTACAGAGCCATATTCTGTATCCAATCTGAATGTTATACATGTTTGAGTCAGACTTTTTTTTTTTTTTAATTTTAATGTTCATTTTTTGAGAGTGAGACAGAGCACAAGCAGGGTGGGGAGGAGGGAGCAGAGAGACACAGAATCTGATGCTGGCTCCGGGCTCTAAGCTGCTAATGCAGAGCCCCATGCAGGGCTCAAACCCACAAACCATGAGATTGTGACCTGAGCCAAAGTCAGATACTTAACCAACCGAGCCACCCAGGCGCCCTGAGTCAGACACTTTTAAAGAAATAAAACATTAGAGAAACAGCTGAGACTTTCTACCTCTCCTGGATCCCTCCCATTCTTTTTTTCCTCTCTAGAGCTAAGACTATTATGAATTTGATGTTTATCAGTTTTATGCATGATTCCTTACTTTTACTTACATGTTTATGAATCCATAAACAATACAAAATTATTTTGCAGTGTTTTAAATTATATTTTAATTGTATCCAAAAGAACATATTATTCTACAACTTGCTTTTTGTGATAATACGTTCTGAGATTTATCCACAATGTAATGTGTAGCTTTAGTTCTTTATTCATTAAATGCTATGCAATATTCTATTATATGAATGTATCAAAATTTATTTATCCATTTTCTTATAATTATACATTTAAACAAAATTCTGCCATGGTTTTGATTCAAAGCATATCTGATGAACTTTCATCATAATACTGGAACTTATATATTTTAATAATAAAGGTACAAAACTATCCATACTAACTTTTTTTTTTTCTTGGTATAGATCATTCTCGAATTGAAGTATGGAAGTTTGGTAATAGTGTCATCGAACACCTATACCACTGGGCACACATCTGTTTAACTCTCATGGAGCTAAGCAAAAAAACAAGTAGTGCTATTGCACCCCCATTGCCCTCCAAAACTGACTCCTATGTGTGTGCAAAAATGCCAAAGGGAAGCTTGCCAGGGAAATGCTAATGAATTGGTACTGTATTCAGGCTATTTTTGTCATGTTCAGTTTTGCTTGTTAACTATAAAATATCTTCAATTGGAACGGAGTGTCGCATAGACATATTTTGCTCCTAGACATTGACCTCAGCATTTTCCAAAACGAAAATGCTACCTAAGGAGAAATTTGATCTAAAAAATATCCAGTTAAGGTAGCCATAACCAAATGCATGTTATAGGATATATTGAAAAGTTTCCTTTTAGTTTCAGCTTTGTATCTGCAGTGGGACTATTGTGGTTAATTGGGTAGAATTATTTCAACTCCTTAAAGGTGCAAAGTAAAGACTGAGGATTTATGGAAAAATGGCTATTTTTACATTAAAGGAGTACCAAATAATAAAGATTTTAAGACATGAACTGGGAATTGTTTTTCTAATTTTTTCAGACTTAAATTTGCACCACCTTTTCCCCCTCCCCAACGATCACTACTCCTCCCTACTGACTTTAACAACTTAAGTTACTTCAATAAATAGAAATTCTTGTAGGAAAATGTCCATGACTCATGGAAAAAAGAAAACACCTTTTTTTAATAACAAAAACCTCTCAAGTTAAAGAACTGCAAAAAGAGTTTATATTTATTTAAAGCTTATTATTACAGCAAACTTTACTGCTCTTTTGTGAGATTTCATCTTTGCAATAACATATCTGATGAGAGTCCATTTTTAATAAAAATTTGGGAAATTAAACTTCATTTTCTTTATTTGGTTGACAAAATGTGATGTGTTGCAAACATCTTATAATTTGAGGTTGGAGGTCCCTTCTTAACCTTCTCTGATAAAGTGGCAGCAGTGTTATTACCAGTTCTCATCTCTTGGATGATCGCATGCCCAGTCTTAACCTATAAGCCTATTTCATATTTGGAAGAGGGCTTTTCAGGGCATTTGCAACAACATTTCTAGGAACAATGTTCTTGAAGATATTAAACTGATAGCCACATATCCTGATGGCTGCAGAACAAGCTTATAGAGTTCACTGTGCATACAAATGGCATTTTAGGCAGCGAGCAGAGGACTTTTTTGCAGAACGCTATCTTATTAACCATAATCATGGGAATCAAGTTAACTAAATGACATCTAGCTTAATGAGAACAGGTATCATACACTTGCATGGAGTTTAACTTGTTTGAAGTATTTTCACACACAAGCTTATAACCTCCCAATAACCTGTAAGGGAGGCAGTCTAATACCATTATCCTCACTTTATAAATGAGGACATAGGCTCAATGCGTGAGTTACCTACGTCACAACAGCTGGTAAGAAGCCAGGGGACCTAGCTTCCATCTCTCCTACCTTTTGCCAGCACTCATACATCTCACTGACACTTTTCAACCTTTACCAGACTAATGATTATGCTATCAGTCTTTTAGAAACTACTTTAAAATTAAGCAACCAGGGATGCCTGGGTGGCTGGTGGTTGAGTGTCCTACTTTGGCTCAGGTCATGATCTTGCGTTTCATGAGTTTGAGCCACACATTGGGCTTGCTGCTGTTAGCACAGAGCCTCTGTTCCCTTCTCTCTCTGCCCCTCCCCTGCTCACACACACATTGTCTCTCTCAAAAATAAATAAAGCATTAAAAAAATAAGTAAAATTAAGCAACCAACAAGAAAGATTAATTGAATTTATTTAATGATCATTCAAGTAAAATACTATCCCTTAGCACTAGGAGCTTACTTTTTTAGTGACGAGGATGTTATTTATACTTGACAAAATTTACATACAGATTTATATTTAAATCTATTTATTGAATACATTGCTTTACTTATAGTTATATATACTTCAGAAGCTTGGACTTGATTAGTTTTTTTGTTGGCTTTCTTTACTGTAGCTTATACATAACATGGACACTGTATGGTGTTGACCATCCAGACAATTTTCCCTTTATTTTTTTTAAGTTTATTTATTTTGAGAGAGAGAGAGAGAGAGAGAGAGAGAGAGAGAGAGAGAGAGAGAGGGAGAGAGAGAGCACATGAGCAGGGGAGGGGCAGAGAAAGGGAGAAAAGAGAATCTCAAGCAGGCTCTGTGCTGTCAGTGCAGAGACTGACACAGGGCTCGATCCACAAACCATGAGATCGTGACCTGAGCTGAAATCAAGATCCAGATACTTAACCAACTGAGCCACGCCTCCCCCCCCCCCACCTTTTTTAAAGGAGACAGATGTTTTTTGAAAACACTGTAAGGGAGCAGTGGCATGCAGGACAGCAAAGGATAGGCTGTCTGCCAGGAGGCGGTGGGGGGGGGGCTATAGTTATGGGGTGAAATGAGGAGGTATGGGAACCTATGGAATTTTCCTTTTTTGGTAACAGTGCCTGGTTGTAAGTAGCCCATTGGTCAGCTGGGGGCTATGGCTATTTTGAGGTGGGTCATTTAATGCACCTGTTTGCATGCAGCCTGGTTATCACTCTGGGCCCTTTTGCCTTACTCAGGTTTCCATTGCTCAAACCTGTTGCGTAAAACAGCCTCTAGATTCCACCCTGACAGATCAACAATGACAAATCTTTGGTATTTGAGTAGAGGTCTCATCTTCAGTAGCTGCTTCTTGCTAGACAGGATGGGTGCACGTCTCTACCTCAACTTGTGGGTCCATCAGGGGTTCTGTGCAGTTATAGACCAGAACATGGTATTATTTAATGTGCTGAAAGGAGATTGGAGTGAAATTCACTGGTAGCCAGGTCCATGGGATTTAGGGAGAGGGGACCCTCTGATGGCATGGGCTGGAATCCTTATTGAATAATCATTCCTATACATAATTGTTGGATTCACTCAGACAGGTAGGAATGTATTTTGCCTGTAGATCAAGATGGTGTTGGATCTGAGGGAACAAAGGAAAAAAGCGTGCAGGGGAGAAGGAAGCAAGGCAGCTGAGCGTCAGCCAGCATCAGAAAGAGTCCCAACTGAGTCTGTAATGTGTGCAGATTTGCCCTGGATGAGCTTCTGCTGCCAAATGTGCTGCAAATTGGTAACAGAGACCTCAGGGGGATGGAGTGGGAGAGGAGAGGAAAGCAGTCTTCACCCTCACAGGCATGAGGTGTCGAACCTGTTTGCCCTTGGACCTTCAGACCACATGGGGATAGCTGCCCTGGCCAGAAAGCTTCAGTTGTGGAGGAGTACTAGGGTTAGACCGCCAAAGGGCTGAAAAGAGAAAGGTGAGGGAAGAAAGGATTCCTCTGAAGGTCAAGAGGGGAAATCCCTCACCCTTTCAGGCAAGGGCAGTCTGGCAATTTCCCTCTGGGGCCTTTGGCTCCTTACCAAGGAGTGACCTCAGCCAAGGTCATCAGTTCCTCAAGGACTACTAGAGATGGTTCTCTGAGGAAAAGTCCTGAGAAATTCCTGGAGAATCCAGGGAGAGTCTGGGCCCAGCAGAGATTCCCCATATGGGCCACAAAATGCCAGGTCATCCAGATTGGGTGGAGAATGGTGGCAGGGGCAGTGAAAGAATTCACCCAGGGCAGAACAAAGGAGATAGAAGTTTACTGAATACACCACAAGGGAGCAGTGGGCAGGACAGCAAAGGAGAGACTGTTTGCCCAGACCATTTTCCTTTTTAATTATGGCTTTCCATGGTCCAGCAACAACTTAAGATTTCAAGACGATGATACTGGAATCTCAGGAAAGCTTCTACTGCCTCTTTTCAAGCTTTATGGAAATATAACTTACATGATATATAATTCATCTACTTAACAGGTACAGTGCAATGGTTTTTACTGTATTCAGAGAGTTTTGCAACCATTACAACAATCAATTTTAGAACATTTTCATCACCCCCGTGAGAAACCCCATACCCATTAGTAGTCACTGTCCATTTTCCCCCACCTAAGCCCTGAACAATTATTCATCTTTCTTTTTCTATGGATTTGCCTATTCTAGACACTTCATATAAATGGAATCGTACAATATGTTGGTCTCTTGTGACTCACTTCCCATTCCCTCTTTATCTAAATATGTTTAAGCAACCAGCTACCCTTAACTTCCACAGACATCTCCAATCCAGACTCAGATCTTCCGCAGGTAATTTAGGGAATTTTCATTCTTCTCATGTAGGTTTTATGCAATGCCACTCCCACCTAACCCCACCCTACATCAACTCTGTGTTCTTACTCTCCCCTGTATGATTTTATTATAAAGACCTCCCTCAATAGATATCAATTAAATATTGCCTATTTCTTTGTCCTTAGGCATAGTAATTACCCTCAGTAACTGTTCCATCTCTTAATCATTAGCTCTATTTTACCTCTCTTTGACTGTCCCTTCCATAGACCACAACTAGGAGGGTACCTCTTGGTGGCCATATTCTGTTCTATGTGACGCTGACTCTGTAGCCACAGCGTTTTGAACTGGGGTTGACCCCTTGCCAAAGGAAGACCAATCTGTGAAAAGGCCTAATATAGAAAGTAACCAAACCATGGATAATCCAAACTAGGAAACAGCAATAAGAGCAGTGTCTAGAAGGACAATAAAGAGTTTAGAGAGGCCAAAAGTGTCACGTCAGGCCTTAAACAAATTAAAGGATACTGCCTTCCAGACACTACAAGTTGGCAGCGAGAAAGTTTAAAAAATGCGTAGTTGGTTAGGGACAAGAATGCACAAAAAGTCAGAGGGCACAAAAAGAAGCAGAGACTGAAAGAGTAGGGAAGTGACATCAGTAACATTAATGTCAAAAGATTAAATGGAAGATCCATTAGTTTGGGTGCTGAGGTCCCTACAGTTGCCTTGGATCCAATGCTAGTCAACTGTTCTGTTCTTGAGGTCTTATTGGGAAGTCTAAGACAGTTGGAATTCTCTGTTGTGTAACAGAAGTATGGTAGTAATGATACCATCTTTTATTGGTTCACTCTGCTTCTGTTCTTACACCGTCTTCAATTAAAGTTCCCAAACTTGGGTTCAAAATGTTAGGAGTCTTTTCCGTGTCTCTGATTCACTGCTGCAGGTACCACCATTGCTGCAAACTCTGCCAAGTGATTGAAGAATTTGAACTCTCTGAAACAATGCATCAGAGAAATCAGCCTTCTACCTTTAGGAAAATCTCACAACTGCTTCATTACGACATCCCAAAGGCAATGGGAGGATACAGGATTCAATACACCAATTCAAAAGTTCACATTATATATAGGATATTGAGCTGGCTAACTTTGTGTAACTAATTCCCCATTCAGTCTCTTTAAGCAAGAGGCAGACAGTCTTGGCAGGGGGCTTTAATTTTTACCCTCTATTGATTCTTTTTATTTTAAGCAAAATAACACATACTCATAATTTAAAGAGTCATCTTGTTATACAACGTCTTTTAAGACCACAACATTTCCCAGCCCCACCTCACCCCTATTTTTCTTACCTCCGAGTCAACTACTTTCAATTCCTTTAGG